TCTCCAAAAGATTTTTTATTTAATACTCAAGGACTCAATTGTCTTTTTATTTTAAGATCTTGGTCGTTTAGTAAAATATTAGAAGCACTTATTGGTGCTTTTGTTAGGTCATGTGGTAATAAATACTATACTCCTTTTATTTTGAAAAAATTTATATAACATGCTCTTGTGGGAGCATACTATACAATCATTCTATCATAATTGATAAGTATTTTTTCTATCAAAAATTTATATATTTTAATTACAAATGAATGCTTTTAATTTAAAAAATAAAATATTTATTTTTAAAAATTATATATCTATTTTTTAATAAAAATATAATATATCTGGGATAACATAACGGGTTTTATTAAGCTACACGACCTTTGGTGTAAAGCCTTATCTTGCACAACAAAAAGTTGACCAAAATATACAAAGGATTTCGAATAATTTCTATATTGTTTGTGAGGACATTTTAGTCCGTTATAACCATTAAAATTTTAAGTTAGAAAATTTTCCCTCAAATCTCGCTCTTTCCAACTTCCCATTAGCTCTCCATCTCTGAGATGAGAGACGTAAAAAACTAGAGTCTCCATCCCACATGACGTGTATGCCCCAAAAGAATTCTCCACGGCCTTAGCCCATACTCCAATTTGCAATGGGCCTGCAATACTTGACCAGAGGTGCGAAGCCATATCTCAACGTCACCTATTTCTCTCTCTAGAGAACCTATTTGTCGTTCTCTCTACAAAGAACGGTTTTTCCCTCTACACCATCGTTTTACTAATGCTAGAATTCAAATGTGTAAAGTTAATGAATTATTTGTTCAATTTTTTTTGAATTGTGATTTGTTTTTGCTCATATTACTTAGTAAAAATATTGGCCTCCCATTTCAAGGCCTTATTGGGGGACTCTATTTCCAACCTTTTTTTATTTTGTGAGATGCGATAAAGAGGATGGCAGGTGGAGTAAGAAGAGAGGGCGAGTAGAGAGAGAGAAAATGAGAGAGAGGGGGTAAGTAGAGAGAGGGAAAGAAAAAAAAGATGGGTAGAGAGAGAAATTGAGAGAGGGCGAGTAGAGAGAGAAAGTTTTGACATGTAACTCTTTTTTTGGATAATTATATTGCCACGTGACTTGAAAAGGGCATAGGAGAAGAGTGAAGAAAATAGCAGTTTTGTTTAAATTTTATTGACTTTTTTTATAAGGGTAAATACAAGAAAAAATAGTGTTCGAGTTTAGGATGTGATATAAAAAGTATTCGGGGTAAGATGTCTAGAAAGTTGATTTTGGAGTATCTATAATTTTTCCTGTAATTTAAAAATTTTCACTTTTTAATTGGGGGTAAAAGCAAGAAAATTACATGAGATCAAAAGGAAAGGTCCTACCCTTTTTATATATGTTTTAAAACATCCAACACTCTTTTAAAGGGAAAAGTTTATATAGAGCCGAGGTTTTGAACAATCAAATTTAAGCCCTCAAAACTTTCACTAGAAGACGTTTTGATGCTCAAATATATTCAAATTGATCATCTCGACATCAAGATGCATGGACATGAGAAAAAATAGATTTCAAGTTTTGAAAATAGTGTATTTTGTAATGTATTTTTGGACCATCAATTTTTAATATTTTCAAATTTTCATAGCTTTATCGATCTACACTACTTTTTGGAGCTTTAAACTTTATAAATAAATATGAAAATATATTTTAAGGCTATCACAAAGATTTTCAATATTGAAACCACATTTCTCGACAATATTTGAAGGTAGGATCTAATTTGATTGTTTAAATCCTAGGCTCTATACAAACCTCACCCCTCTTTAAAAGCTACCCTTATTTTTTTTCTTCTTCTTCTTCATTTTCCTCTTTTTTTTTTTTTTTTTTAAAAAAAAAAAAACAGTTCCTTGGTATATCCCAACTCGGAATCCTATAAATTATCTCGAGTCGTTGTGTCTCCATTCAAGGCTCATGGAAACCAAGAGTCCAAGGTGGACTCTCAGGTCTCATGTTAACCTATATCAGTGCGGCCGTTACTTCTCAAGGATCAAGGGAGAATGCAACATCTGGAAAAATGTGAACACTTTTAAAAGGGCATAGAGAATTGCTGAGAAGATGACCCCACGAATGTACTTCTCTGTTGCAAAACTGGTTCGCAAAAGAAAAAGTCGTAAGATCCTCTTGCAAATATAGTTCAACAACGTTTACGCCTCTAAAAAGCAGAAAAGTATTTGGAGTATGTGCATGAGACAATGTTGATTTACTGGTGCAACAGTTTGAGGGGGAGGGGGGTTCGCAAAAGGCGTGGTCGCCCCATGTAGGTCACGGGTCTTTACACCAAAAAGTGAAGAGCATTCCACCTGTGAGCAACATGCAATGAAGGGAGAGGAAATAAGCAAATTGGGGACACCAAAAAGGAGCTGATGGGACCATGCTGTTGGCTCATCTGAGAGAGAGAAATTGGATAAGTGTGGCCACACTGGATCATTGAAACTTTAGCAAAATTATTGGTTTGATGGTAGGAAAATTTATATTGAAATATGATGCAATATTACTATATAGTTTATGTTTTGTGTCGGTCATATATTTTTCTTATTTTCATTTCACCCCATTTAGAAAGCTGACTTTCAAACCTCCTAGAGCACAAAGAAATTAGTATATTTGGCAATTATAAAGTTTAACTTTTGAATTGTTCAAAATACAAAGAAAAAAAATTATTTGCGGTGGTTTGAAACTTCAAATTTGCCTAAATACATTATTTTTGAGTAATTTATGTACAGACACAACAAAAATAGAAAAATATGAAATGTACTAATTTTGGAAAAAAACATTACACATAAAGTCGTCAACCTGTGTTTTATTTTTTTTTCAAAATTGCCCCTTAGTCTGAGGATTGTTGGATATGGTGATATCCAAAATCACCCATATAAAAAATCCCATATTGTGTGAGATTGTGATTGATATTGATAAGTTTCCTAAAGGAAATGAAAATCCAAAAGGATTAGGACTCTCGGATATATCTCTTGGTTTTTTAGATATATATAACATCTATGGGAAGTTTTCTATTTGATGCGGATTCCTAACCTTATATATATATAATATGAAAGTGCAGAGAATTTGTGTACCCTATTTGGGTCACCATATGGGAAATGTGACTTCCTCTAGAGAGAGAGATACATGAGCCTCCTGTACATGAGAGGCAAGGCAAAACCTCCTCTTAGAGAGAAGAGAGGTTCTTATAGAGAAAAACGTCTCAATGTGCGTCATATGATTAATATGCTAGTTTCTTGTAGAGAAGTGGTTCCCGTAAATATTTTGGGTGGTTTCCTCTTTTAGAGAGAGAAAGTCTCGGCTGCTATCAAAGTTCTCCTCTTGAACAGTGGTTTAGTTGTAGAATGTAGATGGTCTCTTTCGAAACAATGGTTTAGCTGTGGAATAAAGATAAGAGGTCAACGATGGTGCTGATCGAGAGACTAGGTCTAAAAGGGTTTACTCGACTGGGTTTTGTTGAGGGTTATAGAGATAACTCTATGTCTCAAAATCTGTAATGTAAATTCCATAAGTATAGTGGATTTCAGTTTACCGTACTCGTGGATGTAGCCCTCTTGGGATGAACCACGTAAGTCTTTGTGTTCTTGTAGCATGTGTGTTTCATGATTTATTTATCGTATTATAGCTCGTGCTCTCTCCTATTTTGTTTTTAGCTGGATAAATACACAATCTTGGTGGAATCTAACTTTGGGATTCCTGTTTCTGCATCTAAGAGGGTTCTTAAATCCTAACAAGGATGACATCCTCAAACCATTTTTTTTGTATATATATTTTAAGTTTTTTTGTTACCAGGGCTCAATTCTAGAGCGTTCTGAGGATGGGGACCTCTAACTGCTCTAGCACTAAGCCAGGAGCCCTAAATCAATTCTAAAGTGGTATGTGGTCCTCAGACCTCTCTTAGTTTCTTTTTTGTTGAAGAAAAGAGTGGTCCGAGGATGGAGACGTCGGATCGCTCTAGAACTAAGCCCTAGTTACGTCCAGAGAGGAGTCCGAGCTCGCCATCCTCGGACTGCTCTTTGTTTCTTTCTTGTGATGGTTGGGGGATGAGAATCTCATACTGCTCTTTGGATTGAGCTAGGTGAGCCCAACTAATAAAAGAACTCAAATAAATAAATTAAAAAGCAAAATGAGGATAGCACCCTCGGACTGAGGGGTAGTTTTGGAGAAAAAAAAATGCAGATTGACAGACCTTCCGCATAAAGTTTTGCCTAAAACCGGCTAGTTTCGTGTTTTCTATGTTTTTTTTGTCTGTACGTAAATTACTCTTATTTTGTTTCTTGTTTTAGATGGCACAAAAATTGAACTTTCGCACCACCCACACATATGACCTTTTTATGTTCTGAGCAGTTCTTAATTGACATTTTTGAAGCAAGGGTAACACGGAAAAGAGAGTACAAAAAAAAAGAAGTAGGACCACAATGTAATAGAGCCCAAAATACAGATAATACAATACTACCGCATCTTTTCTCCAATCAGCATGTAAATTTCTCTAAAATAATAGATAACGTTTGGGTTGGAGAGAAGTTTTCCGATGCACTGTACATGTTTGTTAAAAAAAAAGAGATATAGTTGGACCTGAGTGACAGAGAGAAACCGCGAATGATAGCTACGGCAGTGCGTTGTCCTAATCGAGGGGGTGCCCATGGCATGTGTTTTAGTAGTTACAAGGCAACTGCGGTCGTCGGCTTGCGAGTAACGACCATGTGACTTGCACATGACCTGGCCCCGCAACCACAACAAAACCAACCCTATCAAACCTTTACCATAATACCCCTCTCTTACCCTTCACTTTCATGGTTCTCAAATTTCCTTACATTTCAGCAAAATTTCTCGTGTTGACGAGGCATTGGCCCCGGCCCTGTTTCTTGAGGGCCAGTCTAGATCAGGCCACGGAGGTCTTGGCCTAGGCCCGCCCCTATTTCCTCAGGGCCAGTCCAAACCAGGTCATAGAGGCCCTAACCTAGGCCTGTCCCTTGACCTAAAAACGTCAAGGGCTAAGCTGAGCTAGGTTGGGCTGAGCAAGCAAATAAATAAAAATAAAGAAATAAGACGAGGGCCAACCCTGTCTTCAGATTGCATTTTGTGGCCTAAACCCTAGTTTTTTAAAGCCAGTACGATCTCGTCAAGCGAGGCCACCTAGCCCATCGCGACGCCAATCAACAATTCCTTTTCCAAGTCACACTGAATTTTGGACATTTTGGGTAAGGGAGCAACCATTCCGGTGCATCATTGCCATTAAGTAAAAATTCAGGGGCAAGAGCTGGCTCCCGAGGTTTATAAATACTCCTTGGAGCAACGGTCTATAAGCCCATGCAAGCAAGCAACGGTGGAAGGTAAAATGACGTCTCTTGCCCTCTGCCTCCTCTTGCTTGTTGCCCTCATTGCCCCATCCTCCGAGGTAAGCAAAAAACAGTCCTTTAGAGAGAGAGAGCTGTTCTCATTCTTTAGAGAGAGAAAGTTGTCGGATCCTTTCTTTGCATTTTGTTTGGAGGACATAATGCTTAGGGAATTTATACAATACACCACTGGTGTATAGTGTAACGTACACCATTGGTGCACCCGCGGTCTGTCTGCATTCATGGTAGAGTTGCCATTAGCAAGAACCATGGTTCATATCCGCTGTCGATCACTAAGGATAGATGGCGGATGTCTCCATGGTGTAGAATAAGCCATACACCACCGGTGCAGATGTCTCCATGGTGTAGAATAGGCCACACACCAACGGTGCATGGGATACTTCTCCTCGTCCAGCTTCCTTGAAACTGAAATGTGGTAGAAGGGGTGGTGTTGATTTTTTATGCTAGTGGGCTTGCAGATGTTTTATAGAGGAAATGTAAGTCTTTTATATTATTTATTTATTTTTATAATTATATAAAAATAGTGCTTTTCTCTCTCAAGGGTAATTTTTTTTTTTTTAGTAAGGATAAAATGTAGAATTATGGTTTACCTCAAAAGTCCATCGAAAATGATTGTTTCGATGTTCGAAAAACATTTAATTGATCATGTCGTTATCAAGTTGTGCAGGCATAGAGAAAAAAAAAGATTTTGAGTACCAAAAATAGTACAATTTTGCTACGCATTATTTGGAGCATCCATTCTCAAGGTTTTCATATGTTTATAGATCTGGTTGATTTGAATCATTTTTCGAGTTTAAAATGTTATAATCAGATATAAAAATAGATCTCGCAATGTTTTATACCAAAATTGCATCTTACGACAAAGGTATAGCTTACTTTGAGTATATTTGCCGTCGCAACCTCACGCAAACCACACCTTTTTAGTAAACTCTAATGAACGAGGTCTTCTTAAACTGTATTTAGAGAGAGATAATAGAGAGAGTGTGTGTGTTTTGAAGTATTTTTTGCTTGCATTTCTATTGGATGAAATGGAAGGGCAAATGGGGTTTCATTTTTGAAATTCTTCGGCTGCTGCCCCCACCCCAGCGTTGCCACCAGCTTCCATTCACATGGTAAGTAACTATTTATTACTAACTTCCAACCCTACTCAATTTGCAATTCCACTACCATTTTTTAATGTTTCCACTTCCATTACCCTAAGAGAATTAACTGATCATTTGGTTTTTGCAGTATGGTGCCACCCAAGGCAGTCTTCACCCTCAAGGTCTCTCTAGTGGTTTCATTCTTTCTCTCTCTAGGTTTCATTCTCTCTATCTCTCTCTAAAAATTTTGTTCCATTGATATGCAGAATGCTCTCCAAGGTGCACAGTAAGGTGCTCTGCAACAGCTTACACGAAGTCATGCATGTTCTTGTGCCAAAAGTGTTGTGCCACGTGCCTGTGCGTGCCTCCCGGGACCTATGGCAACAAGCAGTTTTGCCCTTGCTACAATAACTGGAAGACCAAGAGAGGATGCCCCAAATGCCCTTGATTTCAATGCCGTCTTCTCTTTCCAAATTAATTGCCTTTGTGTACCATTACAATTCTCTGATATTTCCATGTTATGGTAGTGTGTGATCAGTGTAAATTCCATCTTTTAGTATTTTCTGAGTTTAATGTCTTCACTTTCCAGTGCTTGGAACTTCAATAATACCGATGAACTACTTAGGAAAGGGAAAACCTCAAAAGGAACCTTTTTGTCCCACAAGAAAAAGATGATAGTTTCAAACTTCAAACACATTGATTGGTGAATGGTGCCAAACACACAACAAGGAGGAACATTGAATGGTGAAAGGGAAATGACAAAAAGGAACATTTATTTCATGTGGCTGTTTGTCTTACTTGGGCTAATAAAAGGAGTGCAAATTTTGGGATACCTAATACCCGGTTTGGAACTACGCAACAAGTCTATAGAAGGAATGAAGTTGTTTGCTAATAAGCTAAAACTGGCTTTTAGTACAAGGAGGTCACAATCATTTGTGCACTTCGATATCAAGTTGGGTGGTTGTGAGCATGTCATTGACTAGATTCAAACTTCAAAAAAAAACTCTCAAACTTCATGACGCACCTCAAGCCATCGAGTTTGACATTTAATGACTAGGAGTAATTGTGACCTCCTTCCAAGAAAGGTAAATGATCTCATCAGTGTCCGTAATATTGGTCGGTTCAACTTGAAACAGGCCGATTAGATCGGATCAATGACCCTTTCTCTCACGACCCCGCCCCCTGACCTCTATCGTGCTTGTCGGATGGCAACAGAGTGCGGGACCGCGACCAGAGGCAGCGAATGCCACTCAAGTGGGAGTGCGCTCAATGCTTTTAGAAAGACGGAATCAAAGCAAACCATGAAAGAAAACAAAAACTCCAAAAACGACCATACAAAAACTGGTCAAATAAAACAAACCTGATACAATTTTCAGAGTATTACAAAATATCCAACACACCAAAGGCCCAAACAACGAAATACAAAGGTTTAGACAAAACAACTCTATGGCCAACTGCCACTAAACCTACAGTCAAAAGAAAGTTCTTCATCAAGCGCGGGTCCTCAACCGCCAGCCGCGATCACCCAACAGTCCTTGCTCGACCCACGGGATATCACTCTATAGAGATGAAAGTCAATGAATGAGCTAAAAAGCCCAGTAAGTAGATCAAGAAACCATATCTCCTGCCTATAAGTATTATCTTATAATAATTATGATGTCATGTAATCATGTGCCCAAGTCATATCTATCAATGTATCATATATGATTCACAATGAAGCCATAACCAATGAGATATCACGTCATTTAAAAATGCAAATCTTAACACATCAGTATAATTATGCACACATCAACAATTATCTATTAACTCACTCCTTAGGCCACCTACTCCTGAAGTAGAAGCCTTAATCATCGGGTCAAGCCAATCATATTATTTAAGACTTCTATCATCACTCAGGACGGAAGACAATGACAATGGGTGACCCATTCAGTAATGCCTTCATACGCACACACCCAATCCCCAGTGTGCTTTGGGGCTGTTGATAGGCTCGTGGCATTGCAAGACATGACCCTCTCCTTATGCCTTTCTGGTGAGAGAACGCTACACTACACTACCAACCAAATGCATAGTGCCCATATAGATTTGGGGGGCATGACCCTCCCAAACTTTCACATTCACTTCCTAACGCTAGTCCTATCATGGGGAGTTAGGGAAAGATCGTAGCTGTCGGCACCATCATTCACACAATAGGTACCCTACCCTACCCAACAGGTAGTTGTCAGCACCATCATTCACACAGTAGGTGCATATCCACATATTACACAGCTGACCACACAGGTCTTACCACATAGCAAGTCTCACAAATCATGAACACATGTCTGAATAAAATATGTATCATAACATGTACACTTATTGCAACAGAACATGTCTAACTGCATGCTTTCATTTCATAACAGAGCATACTCCTATTTCATAATGGAATAAGCATTATATTACGCTTTTACCATATCACCTCACACTATCAATGGATAACCCATAGTATAGTGCTTCATATCACATCTGTGGCACGACTAATTACAATTATACTCATTCACACTTTCATAAGTATTCACTAGTTCATAAGCATGTCGTACTGTAATCATGCACATTCACCTTTCCTTAACATAGCAGGAATTCAAGTGTGATAGTCTCACAAAAATGGACTTAACTTCCGATATATATGGAGTTTCGACATGGTCCCAAAATCATTTTCGAAATAGACTCACTCATATTTCATTTAAAAGTGGTTGGGTTTTTCCAGTGAACAATATAACACTAAATAGGTAACAGTTCTGGAAATTTCTTGCATTCACAACAGTGATCTATTAATAGAAAAATCGGCATAATTTCCAAACCACAGAGAATTTGGCATGATTCCAAAACATTTTCCAATTAGACTCACTTATATTTCATTTAAAAGTAGTTTAGGCTCATTTGGACATGATTTCATCAGTGAACAGTATAATATAAGACATGTAATAGTTTTGGGAATTCCCTGCATTCACAATAGTGACCTATTCATAGATAAAGGGGTCTAATTTCCAAACTACATAAAGTAGACTCACTCATATTTCATTTAAAAGTGGTTTGGGCTCATTTGGACATGATTTGGTTAGTGAACAACCTTATGGAAAAATATGTAAAGTTCTTAGAATTTCGTGTCATAGAGTTGGCATGTTCTAGCAGAAGTCTCACAACTTTCCAATCAAGAGAAATATGGAAATGAGGTATTTTTCCTCTAAAAATAGACTCAAACGGGTACTTCCCCACAAAATTTCATGGTTAAAGGAAGTATTCTCAATGCTTAAATAATTACTTAAAAGATATGGAAAAACAGAGTACATGCTTAGCAAAGTACTTAGCAAAATTTCAGCAACAATTTCTACACACATTTCCACCATCACTTTCATAATCACACATAAATTTCACAATTTGATAAACAAATTAAGCATGCATTAATCAAGACATGAGAATATGAAATCTAAATCTACTTACAGCACTCAAGAGGACCCCAATTTCCCCATACAGGTCAAGCTTCCAAGGGTTGCTCAAGTTTGGGGGTTCTAAGTGTTTGACAAGGGTGAACATGGGAGAGAGAGAGAATGCTAAAGCTTTTTGGAGGTTTGTGAAGGGGGGTTTATTTATAAGCAAAGAAAGGGGAGGCAGCAGGCAGGTGGCAAGCAAAGGGCTACAAGTGGCAAATAGAGGGCATGCAAGTGTCAAGTGGCAAATCAAGGGGCATGCAACAATCATGAGAGAGAGTTTCTCCTAGACGTTCGTGCGCGGTAGTGATGCGCTCGATGGTGTCATGCGCAGCAATGTCGCTTGCGTGCACAACTGTTGACTTTCTCGCTCCCATTGCGCACATCGGCTCGCTCTCTCTCTCTCTCTCTGCCGCGCACAGTGACTCTCTTGTGCCCGCGTCTTACCGGCACACTTCGACATGCCGAAAAGTTCTGATCTTTACATCATCCCACCCTTAAAAAGGATTTTGTCCTCAAAATCATGCCTTTGTTAATTGAACAAATGGGGGTACTTATACCTGATTTCATCTTCCCGTTCTCTGGTCGGCTCATCTCGGGAATGATATTGCTACAACACTCGGATTAGAGGGATCTTATTGTTACGTAACACTTGCACCCTTCTATCCAGAATCTCAATTGGCCGCTCGATGAAGGTCAGGTCTTCCCAGATCAGAATCGGTTCGTATCTTAGAACATGTAAAGTGTCGGGCTGATACTTCCTCAATAGAGTCACATGAAAGACATTGTGGATGCTCGCCAACTCTGGTGGTAGAGCAAGTCGACATGTCATGCCTCCAATTCTTTCCAAAATTTCAAAAGGCCCAATATAACGTGGGCTCAACTTTCTTTTCTTACCTCTCATAATGCTCTTAGTTAGCGACACAATAAAAAATATCTGATCGCCTACTTCAAACTCGAGGTCTCTTCTTCGGTTATCGGTATAACTCTTTTGCCTACTCTAGGCTGTTCTGAGTCTTTCTCGAATCAATGCAATCTTCTCTGAGGTCATTTGGACGATTTCTAGCCCTAACAGTCTCCTTTCATTGATCTCATCCCAACATATAGGTGACCTGTACTTCCTCCCATACAGGGCGGCATCTGAATACTAGCTTGGAAGTTATTGTTATAAGCAAATTTTGTTAGAGGCAAATGATCATCCTAGCTTCCCTTAAAGTCAGTAACACAAGCCCTTAGTATGTCTTATAAAGTCTGAATAGTTTTCTCTGATTGCCCATCAGTCTGGGGGTAAAAGGCAGTGCTAAAAGTAAGTCTCGTCCTCAAGGCTGACTGTAGACTTGCCCAAAATCTAGAGGTGAATTTAGTTTTCCTGTTGGACATGATGCTGACAGGTATTCTATGCAACCTCACTATCTCCTTGATGTACAACTAGGTCAATTTATCCAAGGTGTAGGTTGTACAGACCGGCAAGAAGCGGACAGCTTTGGTCAGTCGGTCTACAACAACCCAAATATTATCATGCCAAGAATACGTCCTTGGCAAACCAGAGACAAAATCCATAATAATGTGCTCCCACTTCCATTCAGGTACGAGTAAGGGCTGCAACAACCCGGTGGGTTTCTGATGCTCAGCTTTCACTTGTTGGCATGTCAAGCACTTAGAAACAAATAGGGCCACTTCCCTTTTCATGTCATTCCACCAGAAAGTTTTCTTTAAGTCCTGATACATCTTAGTACTCCCAGGGTGTATAGTATAACGAGAGCGATGGGCTTCTTTTAAGACAGTTCTCTTCACCTCCTCATCGTTCGGAACATAGACTCGATTTTTTAATATTAACAAGTCATCACTGCTCAAGGATAAATCATCTTTTCTTCCTAGTTTCATCTCTTCCAAAATTTTCATGAGTTGGGGATCTTTCTTTTGCGCCAACGGTATCTGTTGAAAAAGTTGGGGCTCTATCCTTATGCAAGCAGTCATACTTACCCCTTCACTAAGGGGCAGAGCTGGGTGCCCTTCCATTGTATCCTCTAACAACTTCATCTCTCGAACCATTAGATGTGCCACTGATATTGCAGGTTTTTTGCTTACAGCATCTGCTACCACATTAGTTTTGCTTAGGTGGTAATTGATTGTACAGTCATAATCATTTACTAGGTCCATCCATCTTC